CAGGGACACTCACTGCCCGCTGGGACTCCAGACACACATCTGGACAAAGGACACAAGTCCTCTAGACACACGGTGGATGTGTGTGGGTGTGTGGGAACCATGCAGCAAATTAACTGCATCTGTTAATCTATAATCATCTGTGAATGTGATTCATGTGATCCGTCTGTTTCACTTTTTAGTACAGGTGGAAGTAGTTTTCCAGATTTGTGTCTTAGGGCAGACAGCGGTAGCCAAGAAAGAGCGTTGGTAATTAAATCGTGTGGATTGCTGAGCACTTGATACTAACCGAGCCATCTGTATCCCAGGTCTTGTGCGGAGGTCTGAGGTACGCCTTGTGATTGCTGGGTCTGAAAAGTGCAACATTAAAATAAGCCATGAAGTGTTTAAGCTCAGTGTATAAAGGATAACACTGGGTTATAACTCAGAGGCACAGGAAGTTTTGGAAACATCTTGAAGTAAAGGCAATAAAATCATTTTCTCTGATGATTTGTTGCAGTATTTCTACTTTATTAATTCGCTTGTGTCTTTGCCAGATCTCTGAAATGCTGTCAGGCAAGAATGGTTTTGTGTATAATGGTGCAAAAGAAAACTTGTAGGATGCTTCTTTTGGTATCAGTCATGGACAAGAACTAGAAAGTGTTGGACCAATTTTTATGGTACCTGAAATTGTGAGATAACTGCTCGTGGAGCTGAGCACTGAAATGTGGGGTAATGAATCGGCTTCTGAAGATCCACTTGTGTTTGTATCAGAGTTGTGTTTACACAGCATTTTTTTTCAAATACACGAGAATAAAAGGAAAAGTTGGTGCTCGCTCGTCCTTCTCACAGTGCAGTCATTAGTACAAAGTTACTGAGTTTGGGGAGAGTGAGTGCTGAGCTGAGCGAGTCGTGCACTGCACAGAATTGGGCCTAAATCCATTGTTGTGAAGCTGAATCCCCAGAAAACCTGACAAGCATTGCTCAAAAGACATCTTTTAACAAAGCCTTTGGTATTCACAGATCCAGAGCAGGATGGAACAGCTGTGACCTTAAGGGAATCACAGAATGTTGGGGCTGGAAGGGACCTCAAAAGATCATCTCGTCCGGCCCCCTGCCAGAGCAGGGTCACCTGCAGCAGGTCACAAAACATCAGAGGCTAATCCGTGAGGCTCATGGAATGATCGATCTGATAAAGGCTTGCAGGGAAAAGCGTAACAAAAGCATGTGAAGAATGTACAGGGGGAAGATTGATCTATTTACAGGTGGAAAAAAAAAAAGTGAGATAATACTCAACCAGAAAGGACTGAGGAGACCATGCAGTAGTTTAAGGTGTGTAACAGTGGCTTATACTTTCTGCTCGATTGTGAGGGGAGGCTCTTGTGAAAACCAGTATTTGTAAAGGGACCGAAAGGGAGTGTGAAGTAGCCAGGTGAGAGAAGAATCCAGTAAACTCTTTCGCTATATTGATTTGTTAGGTTTTTTATTTGAATTATACTGAGGTATGCTATTCCCCACCAGGCACAAATAGATTTAGAGGGGACACACGCACGTTTTAAGTGTCCCGAGTGGAGGGAGATCACTGTCATTTTGCGTTCTCACCTCATTTGTCATCAGATAACGTACCTGAATTGCTAATTAAGCTGCGATTCCTGTCTTATTTAATGAGTCATGGACTCACAAAGAAGATTTTTTTGTTTGCAGTTAAAGACTGAGTATTGACGCTCCTGTGGATTTTCTGGCAGCCTATGCATCACTGAGGGCACTGATGAAATTGTCATTTTATCTAGCTGTTGTTTTCACAAAACTTCTTGACATTCAGTATCTTGGCTGGTTGAAAGTGGCCACTTGGTTGAGAAGTTATTTGGTTTAGTAGTGGATGTCAGGAGCTGATAGGTACGCACCCAGCTGGGTCAACTAAACCTTGTTGGTTTAAGAAAGCAGGCCAAAACAGGTAAGTCATTAGATTTCACAAACCATTTACTTATGAAATCGTGCTCAGAATGAGTTAGCTGGGAAGAGAAGACATTAGCAGATTAAGGGACCAACCAATTCTAAAGTCATCATGATGTATACTGCTATGGAGTTGTTCAATTTGTTCTTACAGTGGCCTGAAAGAGAGAATAAATATATAGAAATAAATTAAATACTTACTACTGAATATTAGACTACGAGAATTTACAGCATGAGGTTGACAAATCTTCAGCAGAACAATGAGAAATCCAACGCAGAGAGTGTAGAACACGTGGGGGGAAAAATCTGAAAAAATCAGTGGGGAAATGACATCTGAACGCAGCAGTGCTAAAAGCCTTGAAGTTCAGAATTGGTGGGCAGGTAAATAGTAGTGACTTTGCAAGGGGATTTGTAGAAAATGAGATCCCTGTAATTTTACTGCTTGTGCAAGAGCAGAGGATCGTCTCCTTATTTTCTGTGTGTCCTGATAGCGCCACAGAACAAGTAACTGTCTGGGTTCTCATTGTGTCAGTCTTTGTGACAGGTTAAAAAAACCACCAAACCAAGTGCCCGTAACTGGTGCGGTACGTTGGCTCTTCCTCGCCGTGCGCGCGGTCTGTAGGGCTGGCAGAGCCGGGAGCAAGCGGCCGACGGAGCCGAGTGGTGCTGCCAGAAAGGAGCGTCCTTCGCGTCCCACGGCCCGAGCACATGCAGAGCAGCGCCGGAGCCAGCTGGGAAACGCGCCTGACGGGAGGCAAACCCATCCAGTGCACTAAAACAGGAGGAGACTAACGCAGCAAAATCACTTTGTCAGCGGAAAACTCGGCTCGGCTGCGTGGCGGTGCCATTGGGGAGAGGGTTATGTCGGAGAGGGGAGAAATCCTCGTGCCCTAGCAGGCACAATGTCGGTTCAGTTCAGACTGTCATGAAAGCAGTGCTGCCCTGAGCCGAGATCAGGGGCTTTTTTCTGGAAACATCCCATCAGCGTTCTCTTGATGGCGCTATAGAAATGTCGTGTGGGCTCAGGTAAATGTTTCAAAAAGCAGGAGAATCCATGTGTCACACGTCTGTAACGCAGTGCCAGCCTTTGCCTTGTGCAGCTGGAAGGAAAAAAACCCAGGTTGGATTAAGATCTTGGAATAGGTTGAGAAAAGGCTGCACTGCTTGGGTCCTCGAGCGTTTGGGCGCAAGGAGTTCCTTTCGACAAAGCCTGTTAATAGAAATACACTGTGTGCGCTCTGGGACTGTGACTGCATGTTCCTTTGCTTTTCACAGGTGCTTTATGTAACTGGTATCACAGGATGTAAGATCTTGTTTCGAAGAAGGGATTAGAACTTGAATGAATTGGGAAGGTGCCTAGAATTAATGGTTTACTGGAACAGACTAATACAGACTCCTTTCACAGTACCGGTTCGGTATAGTTTCACATCTTTATTGTAAAGGTCTGAAATCTTCTTTACTTCCATTTTTATACAAAAATGTCATTTTGATGTTCTGTATTAAATTGAAGATGATTTAGCATAGGTTCCTGCCTTAGACAAGGCCCAAGGTCACCTGCATCAACGAGTGTGTAAAAATACCATTGGGAGCAGATTTGAAAGAGAATCTCTTGTATGAAACAGTCTCATGCTTTGAAGAGAATCTTCCTTCCCAGGGTGTCTTGTATTGGCTGTTAAAGAAGGGAATAACTGAGACTCTTCAGCTCTTCTGATTTTACAAAGAGACGATTGGAGGTTCTGTATTTAACGGTGTCAGGCAAAACAAATACTGATCAGCTGTTGTTGCTTTGTTTTGAATTTGCTCTGTATACTCATGTTCTTGAATTTTTTCAGGAAGATGCAAAAGATTATAGGAGTCTAATATGCTTCTCTGTTTGATATTCTACCTCAGAAACTCATCATTGATGAGAAGAAATACTATCTCTTTGGGAGAAATCCTGATCTGTGCGATTTTACCATTGACCACCAGTCTTGCTCTCGGGTCCATGCTGCCTTGGTCTATCACAAACATCTCAAGAGGGTTTTCCTCATAGATCTAAACAGCAGTAAGTAGTGTGATGTTTAATAGACAGAAGTACCAATATTTGAGTCCTTAAACATTTCTGAATCTAAGATGCTTTTTCCTTTTTTTGTTGTTGCTGTTTGCACTGCGTGGACAGTTGTCTATAAACTGAAGTAGCATCCTACTCAAAGATTGACAAGCGTTAGGAGCAAAGTAGTCTTTGATCCAGTCAGCCTACATCTGCTTCAGTTGGTGTTTAAAACGACATTTCTAGACTCTCAAGAGGCTAAGGGAGAGGAGGAAAGTGACTTGGCTTTTCCCTTCACAATTTAAATGAAGCTTTCTCTTCTGAGGGTGGTTTCCCAAGATCTAAAACCTGATACACTGTTTTTTTCCACTGAGGGAATGATTGCAGACATGGTACTTTGGGACCTACAAGAATCAAGAGAGTTAATGGTGTTTGCTGTCTTATTTTCATGACTTTTTGAGGACTTGTGATTTGTGTTATCTCAGGTCATGAGATGGTAGGTAAAATGTACATAGCTAATGCTTTCAGCAGTTCCTCAGTGACTTGTGTCTCAGAGCAACCATGTACAGTGTCTGAACTTCTCAAGACTTGAACTCAAATGCTGTGCGCCCAAGGCGATGACTAACACCCTGTTTTGCATTTTGATGTTCTCAGCACATGGCACGTTTTTGGGTCATATCCGTTTGGAAGCTCACAAACCCCAACAGATACCCATTGACTCTACCGTTTCATTTGGCGCTTCCACACGGGCTTATACTCTGCGAGAGAAGCCCCAGACACTGCCCTCAGCAGTGAAAGGAGATGAAAAGATGGGTGGCGAAGACGAAGAGCTCAAGGGCTTGCTGGGCCTGCCTGAGGAGGAGACAGAACTTGACGTGAGTACACATATCGTACCTAGATGGCATTTCCAGCTAAACAGATAGCATTGCCCATTTCTTTGCTTAGATTCGGGTTCTTAATTTCTTGACTTTGAAGGTAGTTGGAGAAAAAGGAAGACTAGGGAAAATGTGGGCCTGCCAGTGAGCGAGGTATGCCTCCCAGTGTCAGAAGACGTGGAGGAGGTGGAGTTATTGAATGCCTTCTTTGCTTTGGTCTTCACTGCTAAAGCTCCCCCCCCTAATCACAGACCTTGGAGGTAAGAGAAAAGATCTGGTCCCTTGGAAGAGGAGGAGCAGTTAGAGACCACACGGCCAAACTGGGCATCCCTAAATCCATGGGCCCTGATGGGATGCACCCACAAACACTGGGAGAGCTGGCAGATGTTATTGCTGTGCCACTCTGCGTCATCTTTGAAAGGTTCTGGAGAACAGGAGAGGGGCCTGAGGGCTGGAGGAAGGCTAATGTTACTCCAGTCTTCAAAAATGGCAAGAAGGGTGAACCAGGAGTCAACAGGCAAGTTAGTCTCACGTCTGTCCCTGGGAAGGTGATGGAACAGATTGTTCTGGATGTCATCTCTAAACGTGTGCAAGAAAATAAAATTATTTGGAGTGGTCAACGTGGAATCATGAAGGGCAAATCATGCTTGACCAGTCTGATAGCCTGTGACGTCATACCTGGCTGGTTAGATGAGGGGAGAGCGGTGGATGTCATCTTCCCTGACTCAGCGAGGCTTTTGACACTGTCTCCCGTAACATGCCGTTAGGAGGCTCGTGGAGTGTGGGTTAGAAGGATGGACAGTGAGGTGGGTTGTGAGCTGCTTGAGTGACAGAGCCCAGAGGATTGTGACCAGTGCTCGGGGTCGAGTTGGAAGGCGTGTAACCAGCGGCGTTCCCCAGGGGCCGGTACTGGGTCCGGTCTTGTTCAACATATTCACCAGTGACCTGGATGAGGGGACAGAGTTTGTCATCAGCGAGTTTGCTGGTGGTGCAGAACGGGGAGGTTGTGACTGACACACCAGGGGGCTGAGCTGCCACCCGCCGTGACCTGAACAGGCTGAAGTGTTCGGCTTAGAGGAACCTCATGAGGTTCAGCAAAGGCAAATGCAGGGTCCTGCACCTGGGGAGGAACAGCCCCACGCACCAGTACAGGTTCGGGGTAGACCTGCTGGAAAGCAGCCCTGGGGAGAAGGATCTTGGAGTCCTGGTAGACAGTACGTTAAGCATGAGCCAGCAACATGCCCTTGTGGCCAAGGCCAGCGGCATCCTGGGCTGCATGAAGAGGAGTGTGGCCAGCAGGTCAAGGGAGGTCATCCTCCCCCCTGCTCTGCCCTGATGAGTCCTGGATATCCCCCTGGAGTACTGTTCCAGCTCTGGGCTCCCCAGTTCGAGAGAGACAGGAGAGAGTCTAGTGGAGGGCTGTGAAGATGACTGAGGGACTGGACCATCTCGTAGGAGAAAAGGTTGAGAGAGCTGGGACTCCAGCCTGGAGAAGACTGAGAGGAGACCTTGTCAATGGCTGTGAATTTCTAAAGGGTGGGTGCAGGGAGGATGGAGCTGGACTCTTTTCAGTAGTGCCCAGTGACGAGACAAGGGGCAGTGGGCACGAACCGGAACACAGGAGATTCCATCTAAACTTGAGGGAAAACATGGTGATTGAGACAGAGCCCTGGCACAGGCTGCCGAGAGAGGCTGTGGAGTCTTCTTCTCTGGAGGCCTTCAAACCCCACCAGGATGTGTTCCTGTACCACCTGCTCTGGGTGAACCTCCTCTGGTGGGGGGGTTGGACTAGATGATCTCTAGAGGTCCCTTCCAACTCCAGCGAGTCCATGATTCTATGTCTTCTGCTGGCAGGCAGGCACAAACCGCCTCATTCTGCCACGATCAGCTTGTGACCACGTTGCTTCCCAAAGTCAGTGACCAATGATCCTGCAGTTCCGATGGTGTCAGGCTTGCTGCGCAGTACGCGTTCTCCACCTGATGGTACCCCAGGTCAGGGGAGGTTTCCCACGCTGTGCCCCCTTCCCAGCTAACAGTAAGCACTGCCCTGTTGCCTGGTGAAGAGGGAGAAAGCTGTGTATGGCGCATTCACAGGATTGTTGTGCTCGGAAGGGACCTCTCAGGGTCATCTAGTCCAGCCCCGCTGCTCAGGCACCATCACCTTGAGCAGGTTGCCAAGCAAGTTCTGAACATCTCTTTGAACGGAGGCTCCACAACCTCTCTGGGCAGCGTGTTGCAGCACTGGAGTGCTCTTCCTTCCTTGGGATCGAAAGTTGACGCTAAGCAGTGTGCCGTGGTCTTTTGGTATGCACAGTCGTGGTTAAATCAGAGTTCCCACATTAATTGCTTCAACTGCTTTGTCTCCAAATTTGTCATTAGAACCTGACAGAGTTTAATACAGCCCACAACAAACGAATTTCCACGCTAACCATTGAGGAAGGGAATCTGGATATTCAGAGACCAAAGAGGAAACGGAAGAACTCGAGAGTCACCTTCAGTGACGATGATGAAATCATCAATCCAGGTAACAAATTTGCTCTGATCTGTACTTGATCCTCTTGAGGCCCTCCTCCCAGTATTCTCAGAGGGATTCCTCTTGGCTGCATACAGATCAGGAGAACAGAAATTTGGCAGTCAGTATTTGGGATCTGCTCTTTCAGAGAAGCTGCCATGTGTCTCACTGAAATCTTTGACCTTTATTTCCACCTGCAAAATAACTGCTTCATTTGTACAGCTAAAGCCTATCACACTCAGCTTCATTGGTCAGAATTCTGTCAGATGTTGGAAAAATTGCGTGGGTCCGAAAGGAGGAAAGTGTTTTACATTTTTGGCCGTCTTCAGGGACCTTCCTTCTCCAAGGTCCCCTGGGCATAGCTGTTGTGCCTGGTGAGCAGCAGCTCCCAGCGCAGAGCTCCAGTCTGTCTGGGGAGAGCAAACCGCCCGTTCCAGAACACCAGCTGAGCCCTCCTTGAGACAAAGCCACTAGATGTCCCCTTAGCTCCTATTTTTCCAGCGGCTTGTGCTTACTGAGAGAGTTGCCAGGGCGCTGGCCATGAGAAGAGAGGTCTGTGTACCAATTACTCATGTAGGGTCCTTTCCCTGTTTTTTTACTGAAAGCTTCACTGTTCTTGCTTTTACAGAGGACGTGGACCCTTCTGTTGGGCGTTTTAGGAACATGGTACAGACGGCAGTTGTCCCTGTTAAGGTACAGAGTAACTCCCAACTTCCCAATTTGTACATTAGATTGATGAACTCACTTTGTGAATTACACCTTAGAAACATCACATTCTGTGCTGGAAAATGTTTTATTGTTAAGCAAAGTTGTGTTCGTGTTTCACAGTTGTCTTCTTTTTTAGCAGATTTGACCGTCTGCCTTCAAATCCAGCTTTAGCTCTTTCCTGTAATAATACACGGAATCAATGGCAATTTTTTTTCCTTCCATAAAGAAACACTTTCCAGAAATCCAGTGTGGTAGTTTTAAGCATCACTTACAATTGTGGGAAGTGTGGAAAATAGAAAGTAAAAATGAAGGATCGCTTATTTAAATTCTCTGTTAAAGATTTCATAGGTAAGGTTGTCCACTAGAACTAGCAGGGTTTGGACTTTGCTCCAAGATGAGTGTGTTATCAGTGCTACATTTAATTTGAATGTACCAGGAGTGGGAAAGATTTGTGAAACTTTGCAGTATACACTGTTACAGCAGTATAATAATAATAATAACAAAATACTAAATAATGTTTGTGGAAAAGGATAATTCTGCATAAACCCCAGTCTACAGAAGAAGATGCAAATGATCAGGACCCAAGTGACAGCACTCAAGTGATCTAGAAGTTGCGATTTTTTACTGGGGGGAAGGAGGGATTGTGTTACTGACTGAAGACCTTCTCAGTCTTGCGTTCAGGATAAGTCAAGACTGGCAGGTGTGGACAGGAGGCAAAGAGATGCTCAGCCCTGGTCTAAGTTGAACCTGAGTTTCAACTTCTGTCACCCCGTTAAGAATTTATTATTAAATGGTTTTCAAGGAAACCCAGAATAAATCGTCTGGGATGAAGACTGGGCCGTGGTGTGGAACAACGTTGCCCGTGGCTGGTCTGAGTGCCTCTTTGGGGAGCTGGCCCTGGCATGCAGTTTGAACAGCTTGCTTGTTTCGGGGGTTTCAGTAATCCTTTACATACTTCTGTCTACAGAAGAAACGGTTGGAGAATCCCGGCTCGTTGACCACAGACGAATCTGCCTCGAGACGTATGCAAAACTTTC